GAGAATTAGGGTTTCAATTTACAGCGCGGACTCGTCGAGTCCACCCATCGACTCGTCGAGTCCCTTCATTAATCCAGTCAGCAAATCACGATCCTACTCGACGAGTCTAGGCGTCGACTCGTCGAGTCCCTCCTCATAACTCAAAAAAGAAATACTCAAATTGTCATGCCTGGAAATCCGGATGTTACATCTGCATTCAGTAGTACGGGTCATACTACCTTTCACATCTATCTGTACTTTCCTCAAGGATTGCCTTGACTTCACCATGTCCCTTCTACTACTATTGCTCTCCATGCTAATATCATCCTAGGCTTACCCTAGGGTAATCTCCGACCCACTCTCCGCCACTAGCTGCATAAAAAGTCCCTGTTATCCCTCCCTAACTAGCTCGTGAATACCATTACATATCACTACGACCAGATAATTCTTCGAATGAGAGGTCCTACCCTACAACGGTTGGACTAAAACAAGAGCTGCGAAATAGGGTTAGACCTAACCTTCTGAAATTATTTAGTCCTCGTAATATGTAACTTAACGTATTTGTTTACTAGTTAATTAAAGATAAGTAGAACTCCTAAAAGCAGAAAGCAAGCAACATTCGAGCTTTGAGTAACCAAAACCAAGCATATCCTAATCAGGCCATCATATCACTGACTGATCAGCTCTAGCATGTAATTCAATAAGCACATATAGCAGGTGCATAAGGCATCTTCCTAGATCCTTAGCCTAATCAAGCATGCAGTTCTCATACACATACAGTAGGCATATAAGGCATCCTTCCTAGATCCTCAGCCCTAATCTAGCATGTTGTTCTCATAATCATATCATATCATATCATAACATGTATGGGTATCTTGGGGAAAACTTGCTTGAGCTTGGCCGATTGCACGCATCACACTCCTTGTTCTTTCTCAAAAACCTTAATTTTAAATTTTGGAAAATTTAATTTTGTAAAAACTTTTCAAATCCTCGATTTGAGTCCAGACACCCCCGAAGGTGTGTCCGAATCCTTCAAACCAAGGCTCTGATACCAACTTGTAACATCCCAAAATTCATAGCCAAAAATTTCATTTTTAATTAAGTAAGTATAAAACGGGTAGTTTGAAACATCCATAGTGTTAACTCATTTCATAATCAAAAACCAGTATTTCAAATAATTAAACATGTCATAGAAAAGTATTATCAGAGTACAACTCCCAAAGATCTCATAATGCGGAAATCATAGTGTGATGCGCTGCGATCCGGTCGGCTCCGTTTCTTTTGAAAAAGAAGTACCTGAAACCTAAACTATAAACCGTAAGCACGAAGCTTAGTGAGTTCCCCCATCATACCACATAATCACATACTGTCAGGCATATCTAGGTGCCCGACCTACCCTGCTGAGCATACCTGGGTGCTCAACCTACCCATGTTTGGCATACCGGGGTGCCCAACCTACCCCTTTCAGACATATCGAGGTGTCCGACCTACCCCTGTCAGGCATATCTGGATGCCGACCTACCCTCCGGTTTATCTGTACCGGTTACGGGGACTCTTTCACCCCTACCACTATCACATAATAACATATCATAAACATACTGCTAGGCATATATGGGTACTTTCTACCCCTTCGGTCTCTTTCAACCGGTAACCGGGGACTATTTCACCCCTCCTACCACTATCACATAATATCATAGCATACTAGCACATAAAGCATAATAGATAGTGGCATAATAGACAATTATCACAAAGACAATCATCTCCTACTCTATACTCCTACCAGTGGGCCGACATTGGTGCCTTAGACCCACTCCTATAGGAAGGTAACACACCTCATGCTGCTGAACTCCACTGCAAGAAATCCTTAGTTGTTGTCCTGGCAACTCATCGAGCTATCAATACCAAAATATCACCCAATTAGCAATTAGGTTCTATACCATGATCCATAATCCATACTTGGGGTAAAATGACCATTTTACCCCTGGCCCACAAGATACTTAACTAAGGCCCAGTCCAAAACCAATCAAGTCCAAAACTCCAGATCCATAAACCCCCACCAATGGCCCACTAATGGCCCAATTTTTCAAATTGGGCCCAAACCCTTACATGGGCCTTTCCTAAAGCCCATTTTTTTCTGAATCATTATACATGTCCATAGCTAGCCCAACGAAATCCATGTACTTACAAGCCCATTAATGGCCCAATTTTCCAAATTGGGCCCAAACTCCTTATTGGGCCTTATCCTATGGTCCAATCCTTCAATTAGCCCAGAACACAACCAATCTGATAGTCCATTAGGGTCCAAGAATCTAGGCCCAAAAGGATGGCCCAGACCCGAAGCCCAAAGTCCAAAATCCCAAATAGAGGCGTATGCGAGGCGTACCCCTTCGGTACGTTGGGCGTACCCTCGCATCGCATTGACCATCTACGGGATGGTTGACTCTGTACGCGGGGCATACATCGACTTACGCGGGGCGTACTCTCAGAACTTCCAAACTACTTTTGTGACTTAATCAGTTAAGAGCTTTGCGTCTAAACTTCAGAGAACCATCCAATGAAGCTCTTAATGCATAAGTTGGTACCTTTACGCATTTGCATGGTTCAAAGGGTCTTAATGACCAACTTAACCCAATAATACTCATCTAGAACATGCATGAATGATTTCTAGCCTCAAATATTGCAACTTTATGGGTTTATAACCTCTGAAATGCTAAGAGTGGCAATCCAAAGCTGCTGGAGTGGTGTCTAACCACTAATCTTGCTCATGAGGCCAAAAAGGGACCAAAAACCCACATTTCATAAATAACAACATCTAGTGATCAAGCTCAGAACTTTTTACTTTCTTTGAGCTGAAAATGTAGCAAGAAGTCCAGATCCACAAGTCCTCCCTTAAACCACCACCTTGTAATGAGCTTCCACTTCTTGAAATGCACCAAAAACCACCAAAATGCACCCACAAAGCTCACAACACTCTTGGATGAAGCTACCATTCGAAATTAGGGTTTAGGACTCTGAGAATGAAAGAGAGGCGCACCCCCCTTGGACTTAAGGTGCTTTAAATAGTGAGCCAACCCTTAAAATTAGGGTTTGAAGATCCTGGACGTACGCTGGGCGTAATCCTTGTACGTTGGGCGCACGTCTCCTATCCCGCATACCACTTATCCATAACTACGATGGGCGTACTCACGCGTTGCCATTTTGCAAGCATGGTATCTTCTTGCCACTTTTCTCCATTAGGGACCAATATTGCCAATAATTTCAAAGTGTCATATCTTCCTCATCCGGAGTCCGTTCCCGACTAACCTTATATCCACGAAAAGGTGGCGAGAAGCCTACGCCACTAACAACACCCCCAAGCCTTACGACCTTCCGAATTACACCAAAACCCATAAAGAGCTCGAACTACCACTTTACCGATATACCCTTTTGGCTTCAAGACACAACCCAACACCCGGATCACCTCACTTACATTATCCATACTTAAATGGGTTTAGATCTCTCTCTCCCAAAGGCCCCAAGCCTTATGATAACATATCCTCAAGCCACCGTCCCGAATTAGGAAAGCGATTCGGAACAGGGCTTTACAAAATGATGATACTATTCATCGCCACATCGTCGCAGAGGAGGTGCCACGTCGTGGTATCGAGCCTTCGGGTTTTTCTAGGTTTTCTTAAGGCATCCGACTTTTGGAGTAAGAAGGCTAAGTTTCTATATATCCAAAACCGGGATCTGACCCCTTTATATATAGGGAGGTGGTTTGAAACCCTAAAGATAATTACCAAATCTATTAGTGACTATCTATGCTTTTGGTAATCATCCAAGAATCAAACCATTCTAGAATATTTCATTTTCTTCATGTTTTCTAATTAATGAATTAATATATTAATCAGTTAACAAAACAAGTCCCTAAAATAAATATCTTTTCAGGTCTGCTTTATTTTGTGCTAACGTGTAACCCAAAAGGACATTGCTATCTATAGTAATATTACTGGACTCGTTATAACTATGAACACTATTCTCCATCAAAAACCAACTCACCGATAAGTATTGCTTTTCCTTTCAGGTGAGTTAGTTTTCTCATCGAGGACGGAAATTTCGATTGAAGTCGATTTCGTGAGTTTTGGTTTAAATGATCCCCCAACTTTTTTTTTGGCTTTATAAGGGCATAATGTGAGTTTTTTTTTTCTTTTTTTGTGTCTAAATGGTCAATGTCGCATGGTGTACCAACTATTAAATGTTGAAAGTGACTAAAAGAGCACATCGTAACCTACCTTATACCCCCATAAAGATAGAAAATAACTTTTGGGACTGAATCGACTAATTTTAAAAACTTTTTAGAACATGTGTGTCATTTCCCCTTCATATTAATTTGTTTGGTTGCATTCATGACCCTAAAATTGTTTGTTATGAACTTTTATTTTATTTTGTTTCCATGTTCATTTGAGATCGTTTCCTGTATTTCCTCAATTTTGTTAGTGTCTTGCTAGCATTTTTTAATTAAATTCCAAATTTCAGAAAAAATAAAATAAAATGTGTCAACTAATTTGTTGAACAAATTAATAATTGATGTTTGATTATTTTGCTACAACTTCAAACAAAATAAAAATACACAAGCGTTATCTTTTACAATTGGGTTGTTACACTAGAGTATATTGTGCATAGATATTATCACTTTTCGAAATACCACATATTATCGTACATCTATGATGCAAAAAACTACTTTTTATATAAACGTTATCAATTCAAACAAGTAATTGATATATATACTGTTTATCAACAAGATTTATTGCGTCTTATAAGCTAAAGACCTCAAAGAGTATGAAATCTTTGATGATTAAATTTGTTTTTAATACTTTTATCTCTGATATTTTATATAAACTATCACTATTTAATCGAAATAAGTTTTGAAAACCAAACCTTTTAAAGATGAAAAAAATCTAATCATATTTCAATAAATTGTACATGGCTTGATACAACTTTTACATTATTCGTAATTTACAAAATACTAGAGATTTTAAACCTTAGTAAGGTTTTTCACCAACATAATTTCCAGGAGGATCATAATTGCAGATCATGAACACACCCCTACCTCCAAAACAAGTCACTCTAGCGCATCCGATCCGCCTACTTCTCTTCCAAACAATTTGTGTATAATGCCCACATTCCTTCCCTTCATCACACGAATTCAATTGGTGGTTGTACCACCGCCCCTCGGACACCCATGTGGCGGCAGCTTGAGAAGGGTTCCATCGGCTACCACTCCCCCAAAATATATTCTCTCCATAAGGCCCGTTAGAATGCTTCAACAAACAATCTTGTCGTCTCTGTCTAGCATACATACTTGCATAATGAGCGAGCTGTGGATCCCATGCCAATGGTGGCATGCGGATTGCAGCTCGTGCTCGGTTTTGTAGAGTCATGAATTGTTTGATAGCATTATGTGAGTGGCTTCTTGGGTGTTGGATGGCATTGGAGCTTAACATGAGGAGACTAAGGAAGAAAACCAACATCATGGAAGTGGCTTCAGGAAAACCCATTGGGAGGAAATTTGGTATTTCGTAGTTAAGAAAATTGCTAGATTTGTTTCATGTTTTGTAGCCTAGATATTCTATAATAAAAAAGTGAGAATTAGGTGTCACCCATGTTCAATGATTATTGTCACATTGTTTCTTTTCTTTTGGAACAATAAAGGGGTGGTGCTTATATATCTGTCATTCCTTAATTCTTTTTTATTTTTATTTTGGTCAAATGTAAAACTAATAATAATATATTTGTTATTGACTTATTTATTATAATATTTTCTTTCTATACTTAACGCTATAATACTCTATGCCGGAAAAAAATTGGTTATAATCTAAAGCACAAAAATATAATAATATTATCCAAATACAATTTCAAATAAAGTATTCGACTAAATTATATAAATAGTACCTATTGTTTAAAAAAAATGATAAGTTTAGGCTTTATTTATTTTCTTTGACGCCGATGATAAATGTGGCTTGATGTTGTTGCTGTGTTGGTCTTTAACCAATTTGAAAATATATTTTTACTCATATATGATTTACTTATTTTTTTTAAACTATTTACTTAATTATATATTATTATTAAATATGGTTGCGCCTAACACCCACCATTACCCCTAGGGTTGTAAACGAACTGAACATTCAACGAACGTTCGTGAACCGTTCGACGGCAAGTTCATTTATGTTCATATATTTAATAAACGAACGAACATGAATGTAATTCTCGTTCGTTTAGTTAAACGAACAAAAATGAATAATGATCTCGATCATTCAATTATGTACATGAATGTTCGTTTATGTTGTTCGTTTACGTTCGTTTATGTCCGTCCATATAAGTTCTTTTTTATGTTCATATATATTTAAAATGTGTTTATTACATTAGTATATTATATGTTCATTTGTGTTCATATACATTTGTTTACCTTTGTTCATTTATTTTCGTTCGTTTATGTTTGTTTAGCATGTTCACGAACATGAACAATGTAATTTGTTAAACGAAGGGACATGAACAAGAAAACCCGTTCGTTTATTCGTTCATGTTCATTTATTTGTTCGACTAACTTAAACAGACGAACATGAACCAGCCTTGTTCGTGTTCGTTCAGTTCGTTTATAGCCCCAATTACCCCCATCCCCGCTCCTCTCGCACCTTAAACCGAGGTCTCCCTTTCTATTACCTTCTCATATATTCGACTCATGCCACCATAAATATTAGACTAGGCCAACGCTTTTTGTTTCCTCTTCTAAGCCCACACTTTTACTACCTATAATATCACATTTTCCAACTGGTGATATGGGTGAGTTCATTTTCGAGATCTAGAACTGAAAAAGCCATTTCCTTCGCAGGTTGTCTCATCCTTATCCGAGATAAAGGAATGAATGTATTTATAACGAAGAAGGGAGATATAGGGTTTGAGATATGAGAAGATGGATGTTGGCAGTCGATACTCATGTCCCTATACAGCATAGAGTGAATGCGTCATATAGATGACCTCTAACATGAGAACCAGAAACTTGTAAAAACAACAAACATAGAAAAGTAAATCAAATATGAGCGGTCAGACATAAAGATGTATACAAATTAGCAGAAAATGCATCTGAGAATTTGCACACGAGACAAACATGAGGGAGTAAGTCAACGTAACTTATAAACAAGTCAAGGACAAACCAAAAGGCAAGCATGTTGGTGATTTTAGTGTCACCATGTCATTTTATATAATTGTAACTAAATGTGAGCTAAGGGGCTTCATAATTTGTACTCTAATATATGTACGAGGTTGTGCGGAGTGCACGCATGTATAAGATCGAATAAGAAGCCGGTTCGACGACAAGTCGAGGGTCCGGGGGTAGCGCCCCTTTGGCGGGGTTTAGGGGCAGCGCCCCTAGCGGGGTCCAAGGGGCAGAGCCCCTGGTTGGGGTCCCGCTTCCAAAGCAACTCATGACGGCCAACCCTAAGAGGCAAACCCTAATCTCGTTTATTATATAAACAACTCTTCTCTTTGAGAAGTGACACACGAAAATCAATAGCTCTTGATGTGCACAAAAGTACCCACTAATTTTATAATTTATAACCTAACTAACTTAACTAACTTAACTAACTAAAATGCACCTAGGCAGTGTACCTAGTCGAATTATAGAATAGTTAGGTAAGTCGGGTGTCGATCACAGGGAACGGTGTTAACTAATTAATTTATCTACTATTAAATTAACCTAATTTTAGAGCAAAGATGGGGTTTTTATCTGATTTTACAAGACCAGATGAACTTAAGTCACAAAATTCAATCAATTAATTAAAACACTCCTGTTTAGTTCGAATCCACTTCTTCTTTATGGTTAGCTAACATTTATGGATTGTCAAAGTTGGTTATTTTTGTATTAGTAATTTAAGTCTAAATTTACCAATATTAACTAATTCATGTAAAACTATATATGGTCACACACAGTCAAACACATAATAAGTTGCAGATTATGAATTTGCTATGTAAAATTAGGCAAACACAATTATGGTCATAATTTATGTTCTCTAGCAGAATTAAATTTATTTACTTCAATTACTTTCTAAGATTTTGGTCGATCCTAGCTCTAGCAATTTAATATTCACTAAATCACTAGGTAAACAAGTTCATGCAGTTTAATGATCACTAAGCTACACAGAACATGAGTTCAAATAACTAAAGAAACAAATATTAACATGCTAGGTAATAGCAAATCAAACACAAGCAATTCACCAACTAATCAAATCCAATAGTCATTAAGCTAAACCATATGTCCGAAGCTTCATCTAGCTAAACAAGAGTAACTAGATTCAGCTGCTCATAGCAACAATTAAACAAACACAAATCAAAATATAAAACATGTTCAAGTATCAACAATTAAACTAATTATGAACCTCTACTCTTTTGGTGTTGAAAACCTTTTTCCAAGACTTCCCTTTTGCTAAAATTCGTCTTTTGAAAACCTTCCAGTCCACCAAAAAGTCCATCAAGTCGTAATGGACAAGCCAATTTATAATATTCACAAAATTCCTACCCCACGTCGTGGAAGGATGCTCCACGTCGTGGTTTTAGAGTTATCCGTATCGGGCAAGGATTCTTACTTCGTACGTATTTATCTTCCAGAATATTCATGCCACATCGTGAAAATGTTGACCACGTCGTGACTTCGGTAAATTCCGTGGATTGCTTCAACTTTTGTACTCCAAGTCTCCAATGTTCCATGTATTGTCAATTTTTGGTCCCTTTCTTCGAAAATGCCTTACTTTGGCTGCAAATAACAATTTATCCTTATAAGTACCATTATTCTATGCAAATAACCAAAATATCAATAAAAATGTAAATAAATATTGCCTAAAAATATGTATAAATATGGCAATATCAAAATACCCCACACTTATGCTTTGCTTGCCCTCAAGCAAATCTACTTAATTGAAACTTAAACCTTCATCACTAACATCATATAGAACAATCCATTTTTGAACTCAGCCATTATGCCAAGACCTCAACGCATGCATTTGTGTCTAAAATGTTTTCTAAAGGACACCCATACTCTAAATACTCACAATCTTCATAACACTCGCCCACTTCTTTCGAACAATGCCCATTTTATGCAATCCTCCGAATCCATCCTCAGAAATCTTACTTAGCCTCAAAGTATTTTTGTAAAGCTACCCAAGCATACATAATCTAGAAATTACAACTTTTGATACCACAATGGAGCTCTTGGAATTCTTTACTTCTTGATATATTCGATATTGATTTCTTTGAATTCACCACCTTTTTGTGTAATTTTGATATATTCAACTTTTGAAACTTCAGAATTTTCGATCTTTGATCTTCATACTTTGATACTTTTATGCTCCAAAAATTCTTCAATTTTTCACTTTTTGGTAATTTCTCTCTTTTTTTACATGTATCTCACTTTTTTTTCACTCAAAACCTACATGCTTAAGCAGGGGTGCTTAACTTCAACCTATATTGGCTAAGACATAGCTTTCCTGGATACATTTCTGGTAGAGGCTGCTAAACATATCGCATTCCTCAAACTAAGCGAGGTTGTGTTTTTGTTCCATGATTTCACTAGAATAAAGGAGGCCACAAATGCACTATAACGTGTATCGGCTCAACTAAACATTTGAGCTCTCGTCAGATCATCCCACACAACACTTAGCAACTTAAGTTCAAATTATTATTACTAGAACTAATATTAAATTATTATTTCAAACCTATGAAAAATTTTAAATTCCCTAAGATTTCTAGCAATTTACTTTTAGCAATCTAAACAATTATTTTTTCGACCTCCTACCGCACACTTATTATATACAATGCCCTCATTGTATGCATAAACTAAATAAAAGCAATAAAAGGGAGAAAAAGGAACAGACTCCCCTGGGTTAGTGGCATGATCGAACTCCAATCGTGTGGATAAAATGTGCATGTCGAATATGGACTCCTTCTAAATAGGAACTTGGACCTCGAACTCGCGAAATATGTAGATGAGCCAACAAGTGATTAGTCAACACTTCAATTTTCAATAAGAGTGGTGCAAGTCTCCAAGACGTGTAGAATAATGTACGAAAGCATACGCCACATTGTATGGTAGAGGACAGGATCTGGAATGATCCCTAGAAGAAACATGGTAAGCCCTAAAGGAAAATGCGCCAATGGACTGCAGATTTTAGAAAAATGAGAAACCACGTCGTGATGAAGAAGGCCACGTCGTGTTGTCGCACAAGAACGCGTTTTAATAATGTACTGATCACCGGTTCATGACGTGAAATAAGTCGCCACGTCGTGAAAACTGGCAATCCAGAACTATGATTTCCCACTTCTTCATTCAACTTGGAATTATGACCAATGTCTTAACTAGTTAAGACACTTCTCATTCAGTATTCTAAAGACCCTTTCTGACTCTATCCTCTCTCTTCGACGCACCCCACACTTATTTTCAATTGTGGATCTCGACTCGCGCTCTAAACTCTAAACATCCCTTGGCTAAATATAAACGCTCATACTCCCG